CGCACATGTTCTCTGAAGAAATAAGTGTATAATTGGCTCAACACTCAGGTAGTGCAACAAAAGATTATCCTATAGGCTTGAGTGAAAATCAAATCTCCCTTACTTAAATATTCGAATCTAACATAAAGAATCAAAGAGACTTTTAATAAGGGGTGTAGCGGGGCTTATGGTCAGGGGTAGGAAAACAAAAATAAACAACGGCTAAGAATGTCATAAAAAAATACAATAAGAACACGATGCTAGCATATGAAAAACAAATCGGTATAAACAATGAAATCTTTACTCTATTCACTACCCAAACTTTAATAATGAAATTAAATGAAAATACTTCATCAAGATGATTATTTTATTATATTTTTTTTGTTTCTTTTTTTTCTTTTTTTTTTGTTTTTTTTTTGTTTTGATTTTTTTGATTTTTTTCTTTTTTTTTTTTTGGCTTTTGTCTTTATATATATATATATATACTTTCACTAACCATAATTATTCCTTCATGCTATGACTTATTCGTACCCAAATTTTGTTTCTAACTAGTGCCGAAGAAATAAAGTGCATCACAACATGGACTTAAAGTAATTCTTTCTAACATAGGGTTCAAATCGGAGAAGGCTTAATCAAAAGAAGGGTATGAGGCTAAAAGACAGGTTATTATAAAAGGAAAAATAGGCTAAGAAGGCTCAAATGGGCTAACTAGGGGAATATATTGTGTTGGGTAATAAATAAAGGGTTAATAGGGTTACCTAATGCCCTTATCATTTTCAAAACGCAAGACTCCGATAGTTGTAAGTTCAACATGCATAATCACTCAAGTTCTAGGTCATCTAATTGAGCACTACATATCACACATGAAAGAAATTTTCAAAAGCTTGAATATATACAATTTATTTTCTAATGTAACTTTTGGAACATAGGCTCAAATTTTCACAAGGTTCAAACGTCAACTTGACTCAACATATCACCAATCAAATGTCATTAGGCATGCCAAACTAACCTATCACACAAATCAACTTTGACTCACTTCAGACAAATCTCAAAAACATGCGAAAAGACAGCAAATCAGGCATAAAATGTAGCAAAAAAAATAAAAATTTTGCCCAAAAATTTGCATAACTCTCCCCACACCTAAAGTATGCATTGTCCTCAATGTAAAGAAAGCAATAGAAGAAGAGAGGGACTTCCCTAAAGTCCGTAGGGGGTGGAGTAGTTGCGAACTGTTGCTTTGCTTGCTAATGCCTTTAGAGTTGCACATACGCCATTTTTAGGGAGGCTTGGGGGGTGTTTGGCAAATAGTTTTTTGAAGAGCTTTTAGCTTATTGAAAAGCTTTTAGCTGTTTGACAAGTCAAAAAGCTAATTTAGGTGTTTGGTAAATTAGCTTTTTAGAATAGCTTTTTGAACCCAAAAAGCTAATTTCTGAAAAGCTAACTTACCCAGCGTTTTGAAATAGCTTTTTCTGTAAAAAAAAATTTTATTCCTTATATGCCCTTAAAAATTTATTATGCATTTTACACAAATAAATATATTTTGATTATTTATTAATTATATTAGAATATTTTATTATATTATAGTTGTACTTTTATAAATTTAAAATTATTAATTTATATATAAAAATTATTTTAATTGTAAAATATATAAATTTATTAAAATCAACATAAAATAGAAAATATAAATATTAATAATTTTTTTTTATATTAAAATTATATTATATAAATTTTATACTAAAAATAAATTAAACAAATTAAATTTATTAAAAATTATAGATATAATGAACTAATCGATAACTAACATAATAAATATATACACGAAAATTTATTATTTTATATTTTACATCATTTTTAATAGAAAAAACTATTTATATATTTTAATAAAAATATATTATTTTTTAAATCTAACTGTAATAAAAATAAATACTTTTATAACACTTTTATAATTTTCAATAACTAATAACAAAAAATTTTAAACATTCTAAACTCAAAAGAACATAATTAGGACATAATTGAATATATTATAAACAAAAATAAAATAGAAATGTCCTCATTTGTCATTTTACGTATAAACAACTAATATCAAACAGTTGTTTTACCAAACATTTTAATACAAACAGCTAATCGAATCAGCTAGTCAAACCAGCTAATTGAATCAGCTAACAGCTATCAGCTAATAGTTAACAGCTATCAGCTAATTGCCTAACACGTCCTTGAAGTTTCTCATGAGTTCTCTGCAAAAATTAAGTAGGCAAGCGCAACAAAGTATTCAAAAAGAACGCTTGATAATAAAAGATCATAGCAAAGAACCAAAGCAAGATTTAACAAATAGGGAGCCCAAATTTCAGCCACACTATAGTTATATTCGAGTCAATGCAATACCTAACCATCCAAAATCGAAACATAGAACTCCAAGGATCACAAAGACATGCAAATACAACATTTGAGTCAACCAAACGAGTTCAATGTGCAATTCAAACTATCAATTGAGACTAACATGCCACAGCACTATCACTGCTAATAAAAATCGAATTCAAAGCTCACACAAAATTCCTAGATACTTGTCGCAGAAGTTCTCAATTGGCAAATTCAGAACATAAATCGCTCTATCTCAACATATTGTCCCAAAAATTGAAACTTGAAAGTATAAAAATAGAGGGATCGAGAGATACTACCGATACCAATACCGGAGATGGGATAACGATACCGGCGGATAGAAGAGCAATGGTGCAGCAAGGGTGACATCGAACTGCTGGGGCGGTGGAAGAGCGCAGAAGGTGGCGGCGCTGTCATGGAATCTGTGGCGGCATGGAGTCGCAGGGGACGCTGGGCGGAGGTTCCTGGTGGCTGTCTCGGCCGGTTCATTGCACCCGTAGTCGAATGCCAGGACAAGAAGATGAGGGAGATGCGGTGGAAGGTAGGGTGGAGGGCGATCATCGTCTGGACAAAACGGAAGGTGTTCCGGCACGGCGGAGATCTATGCAGAGGGAACAGGCGGATGATTGGAGAAGGGGAAGAGGAAAAAGAAGGAAAAAGAAGAAGAAGAAGAAGAAGAAGAAAGAAAGAGGAGGAGGGTCGCGGCGATCTAGTAGGAAGAGGAGGGAGGGAATCGAGATGACGGGGTAGAAGAGAGAGAAAGAAAGGGAGAGAGATTAGGATTTTTTTATTTATTTATTTTGGGGATTTATAGTTAAAATTAGATAGGGAAGGGAAGAGGGATGCAGTGTGATAGAGGAGTATTAGTCATGGCCATGACTAGATACTATCTATCATTCTGGAAATTGGAGGGGTATAGAAATATTGAGTAAAACAAATTAGAATGTGAGGTGCCAATTGGTCATGACAATGACTAAAAGTCACCTTTTGGTCTGAAATTTTTTTTTTTAAGGAAAAGTCGATCGCGCGTTCGCCAGAAATCAGCAATTATTTTTCAAAAGACCTACACGAAACCAAACAAAACCATCAAAAGTGTTATTAGCAATTAAACAATAAAATTAAATAAAATTAAATAAAGCAATTAAATGATTTGGGTTGTCTCCCAAAAAGCGTTTTTCTTTATAGTCGTTGAGCTAGACTTCGTCTTGCATCAATTCTGAACATTAAAATCGGCAACGGGTGCCAACTTTATAGGATCAAGTGAGGGTCCCTCGTGGTATGATTTGAAGAGATGTCTATTGGCCACACACTTTTTTCGGCTTAAAATTTTGATTCTCCTTATGACACTTTTTTGTTGCCAGCAATGGTGATCCCTTGGGAATCCATCTCAACTTTTTGACAATCTTTTTTTTTCTCTTACTCTCTCCAGTTCGTCTTTTCTCTAATTGTTTCGTCAACACAGTTCTTCGTTTATTCTCATTACCAACTTCATAAGTTTCCTGCACCACAAAATTAATAACATTAATTGCATATAACGATTTAGATTTAACATGATATTTGATGGGATTAAAAATATTGAAATGAAATTCTTCTCCATCAAACTCCAAGCTGAGTGTGCCCTTTTTAACATCTATCTTTGCTCCTGTAGTGCACATAAAAGGTCTTCCTAACAAAAGAGGCGGTGGATTAAAGCAATGTGCATCATACATATTCAGAATATAAAAATCAATAGGAAAAATAAAGTCATTCACTTGAACTAGTACATCTTCTATCATAGCATCAGGATAAGCATTGGTTCGATCAGCAAGTTGAATAATAATTCATGTTTCTTATAGAGGCCCTAGATTTAAAGAGTCATATATTGATCGTGACATGACATTAATAGCAGCTCCTAGATCTAGCATAGCCTTAGTTATCTCAGTTTTTCCAATCTTACAAGGGATAGAAAACATACATGGATCACCTGTTTTAGGTTGTACCTTTCTTTTGAGAACAACAGAAACGTTCTCACCCGCTATAATGTACTCATCCCCTCACAATTTTCTCTTATTGGTGCACAGTTCTTTCAAAATTTTTGCATACTTGGGGATTTGGTTGATAGCTTACAAGAGCGGGATATTAAGTTCCACCTTCTTGAATATCTTCATCATCTACTTTCGTTTGTTTGCCTTTTGTGGTTTCTTCAACCTGTCAGGAAAAGGAGCAGATTTAGCTTCAGTAGGAGGAACAGAGTTGGGAGGTACCTTTTCGTGAAGTTCAGCTTCTTTTTCAATCTCCATCTCAATATAATCCTCATTTTGTTTCTTCGATATAGGAGGTGGACCTTCCAATTCCTTTCCGCTATGAAGGGTTATAGCACTTGTATTCTTTGGATTAGGCCGGGAAGAAAATTCAATCATCATGCCACTGCCGATAGTGATGGCGCTGACATTTGCTGGATTTGGCTCAGGCTGAGCGGGCCACTTTCCTTTTTCACGTAGTTGTCTTACCTCCTCTGACACTTGATTGATCTGACCTTGTAATTTGTCAACTGTCGATCTCATCTCTTGTTGGAACGTTTTCGTCTCTTGTTGGAACTGCAGGGTAGTGGTAGCCATAGACTTCACCAAGTCTTCCAAAGATGGACTGGAGTTGCTTGTGGATGCTTAGGGCAGTTGTTTCCCATAGAAGCGAGGTTGTTGTATTTTCTGCGTAACTCCGAATGGGTGAAGAGCATTACTCTGCTGTACGTTTCCATAGCGCAAGTTCGGATAATCTCTCCAGTTTGGATTGTAAGTGTTGGAGTACGGGTTGTACACTGGAGGCCCATTCGCACCATAGTTTGCAGCGTTTACATCCATTGCATAGCCTTCTTGGAGGGTCGGGCATGCATCCATAGGGTGCCCTTCATTCGTGCATATATTACATGCCTTGACTTGGACATTCGGGTTAGATTTTTTCACGACCATCTTGCGAACAAAGCTCGTCAACTCGGAAAGTTGTTGCTGCATTGATTGGATAGAATGGCCGTTACTATTTTTGCTTGTGTGTCCAACATCCCTCGAGCCAAATTGTTGCGTGTTTTCAGCCATCCTCGCAATAAGATCCCAAGCTTGTGCTTGCGTTTTATTCACCAGAGCTCCACCACTTGCAGCATTGATGATGTTCTTGTCCATCAATGACAAACCATCATAAAAATCTTGAATCAATAATTGTGGAGGAATTTGATGTTGTGGACATTTAATAATAACCTTATTAAATCGCTCCCAAAATTCATGGAACGTTTCACCTGATTGTTGCTTGATGCCACATATTTCCTTCCTCTGAATCATAGTTCTGGAAGCTGGAAAGTACTTCTCCAAACATTTCTTTTTTATGTCGTTCCACGTGTCGATGCTTCCAAGTGGGAGATAGTAGAGCCAATCCTTTGCAGCATCTTTGAGTGAGAATGGGAAGGCTCTGAGTTTGATTTGTTCTTCAGTAACACTTAGTGGTTTCATGCTGGAGCACACCAAGTTGAACTCTTGCAAGTGTTTGTGAGGTTCTTCGCCTGCAAGTCCATGAAAAGAAGACAGTAAATGAATTAAGCCAGATTTCAGTTCAAAAGCAATAGTGTTATTCAGAGTTGGAAAGTTAATGCGTAAAGGTTGTTGTGTCAAGTTGGGAGCAGCCAACTCCCTTAAAGTGCGGTATCCTCAGCCATGACAGTCTCTTGATCACTTTCAGAGTCGCTAGAACTAGAGATTCTGAGGTGGTTTAAAGATTCTGCCAGCTTTGCAACTTGAGCAGCTTTTCGTTGTTTGGCTTCCTTTTGCAGCTTTCGCTCAACCTTCCCGATCTCAAGATTAAGTATCAGTTCACCTTTACGAGAAGAATGGGGCATAAATAGGAGGATAAATGAAAATAACACAAAAGAGTAAAACAAAGCGCCAATCCCCGGCAACGGCGCCAAAAATTGACCTGTCGCGCGGTTAATCAAATATTTCACCTATTCCATTATCACAATTTAATGTAATACAGGGGAAGGAATTGTCTCCACTGGGATTTTTTGATTCACTCTTTCGTGTTCTAATGCAGTAAATAATTTGGGGGAATTTTCTTTTATCATCTAATGAAAATAAAACAAAAAAGCAATTAAATTATAGGAGAACTAACTATTAAGGGGATGCCTAGCTCAAGGGATGATGCAGTTATGACACTTGTGTTTTATCATTGATTCAATAAAGTTAGTTCTTATTAAAGTATCAATAAATTGGTTATAGTTATCAACAAGCTCTGACAACCAATTTTTCCTTACAGTGTAGGTAATTAAGGTACGACCGTTAACTACCCTTAATTAAGCAAATAAACCTAGGTGTGCCCATAAGAAATATTGCCTAATCGCATTCTAAGAGGAGAAATTAGATTTGATTGTCTAACCCCCGAGAAGGAACTATTCAACCTGGTTGTCACCTATTCCAATGTGAATACAATTACGGATATCCTACCTGAATTGACTTTAGATTATCAGACTAATTCAAATATTGGTACTAAAATATTCAATCAATCTAACAATCAAAAACGTTATTCTCAGAATTAGACAATATTGATAATTAAAAAGAACTTTTATAAAGAAAATTAAGAATCTCCAAAACAATTATCACCCCTCAAATCAGAAAAGTATCTACTTCATAATCAAATAACAAAGAACAAAATAGAAAGATAAAGTCATAGTGGGAGGGGAAATCTTCTCTATTGATTTTCTCCTGCGCGATCTATGAGTCTGTCAGTTTTCTGCTCTTGTGCGTATCTGCTCTGGCCATTCGGAATTTCTTGCCATCCGAGTAATTATGGCAGTCAAATGCCATATCCCACTTCATCGTCCAATCCAAAAATTCCTCTGCCCCCCTTAATCCTCCAAAGGTGGGAAGGGTAATCCTAATGGTAGAAAGATCGTCATCCACCTCACCACGTCGATGATAAGTTTGGTCTCATTCATAGAATGAGTGCTCTGAGTTACGACTATTGTGTGCGTCTGACCTCATTGAAGGACTCAAATCACGATGACGAGAAGCCTCAGCTGCATTATATCTACCTCGAATATCAGCTACTCCAGAAGGAACCTCAGTCTGTGCCGTCTCCAAAGATGTCAACCTGTGATTGAGGTCCTTATTTTCTTATTCACGGCGTACTCTATATGATCCCAAGTTGCCCTTTGTTGCATGGATAAAGTTTTTTCCATTTTGGCCTCCAATTGTGCAAACTCGATTCCAACAGATCCTTCAATTGTTCGAAGGTGGCCATCCTACAAACAAAGACAAACTATATATATGTATATCGAAAGGTAAGTGCTCTCACTCTCTCTCACAACTCTCAGAAAGGAAATATCAGAAGCAACCACAATCAAAACAGAAGAAGCGTTTTGCAAATACCTCAAATAGTACGTCGGAATTCCTTCAAGTGCAATACTCAAGGAGAATTAATGTTGAACAAAAACAAGACGCATCAACTAGGAAACAAACTAGAGGATTCGACGCCAAACTATAATCGCAGAATGTAAACAAAGTTTGACACAAGTTCTTATTCCACAACTAAGCAACAAGCTAGAATCAAAATCTCTAGCACATCATTTGATCATGACAAACTCTCCTAACTCAAAAGAACCCCCACAAAAGGAGATCAAAACTGGTCTAGTGACTCTCAGGTATGATTATCCAAATGATCGACAATGCACTATAACAAGAAGAGAAAGTGTGCTGCTCAATTTTTTTTTTTTAAAATGCTCTCTAGGCTTTTACTAAATGTTTAGAGTGCTCCTTTTTTGAATTTATATTACCATCTTGGCTCTTTTATTGCACTTTTGCCACACTCCTCAAAAACAGGACGCAGTGCACTATAACCAAATTCAAACGCTATTTCAGAGAGTTATTCAAAACCAAATCTCACGATTCCAAAAATTAAAATCAACTTCAAGGAATTATCTAACAGGAAAGAAAAGAATCACTCAATAATTCCCAGCCAATTAAGAGAAGTAAATCGAACAATTCGACAGCTCAAAACATAAAACAGAATGTTGGACCCAAGATTTTCAGACTGACCAAAAACTGTCTTCCAGGTGTTTTTTGAAGATTTTCAGATCAAAATAGAGGACTCGATACTGATTCTGAAAACTGTATAGAGGACTCGATGCCGATTCCGAAACCTCCTCACAATAGTAAATCGGAGTTCGTATGCAAAAGTTACAGCCAAAATACGATTTACCGACAAAACTCACAAAAACACACTTCTAAGCCCTCAACTCACTCAATTCCATGATCATTTGATGTGTTTAGGCTCAAAACCAACCATATTACTCAATCAAGGTCTAAGAACACTTAGAAAAATACAAACAAAGCTTGTTAGTGCCGGCCAAAAATCACTACTACTTGTGTTTCTTGAGAGACAAATTCAACAACACAACTCATGATTGGCAACTAACAATGGATTGGAACTAGTTATCATTTCCACTAGAGAGGAAATTTTTGCAACAACGAAATGGCTATTTCCAGAAACTATGAACTATCTCCAAATAACATGAACTAAACCCATGTTCTAACACAAATTTGATCAAACAGGACATAGAGAGATATTATCGAACATGTTGTGAACAAGATAGCTACGAAATCTTATGATCAAATCAACAACCACTCTAATACCAATTTTATGATATGGATTAGGATCATCTCCATGAATCAAACTCGAAAAGACAAGTATCTAATATGTATTCGGGAACTTAGAAATGATGGATCGAAAATCAAAATAGAAATAGGATAAGTCGAATTCCAAAAAACAATCACTCCTCTCGAGCAAGCACTTTCGAGAATCCATGGACTGTCCGAGGCTGCCGATGCATCTTCCATCTCTCACACAATTGCATCCGAAGCTCAACAGTCGAATTGCCCTCTCGGCGGATGGAATCACTCAAACTCTAAGGAATCTCTCCAAAAGCTAGGTTAACCCTCTCTCAAATGTTCTTATCTAAGTTGTGTGTCCATCAAGAAAATAAATAAAGCTATATATACTAAATGACAAATTAATCTAAGCTACACATCTTAAGTGGCAAGCTAATCTAAACCACACATTTTGATTAAGATCAAAGGATCACAACCTCTAAGCAAACAAGTAGCTTCGACCGGGTTCGGGTTGCAATCGGTCCGTCTAAGTTCGGGTTCGGGTGATCCGGAGCCATGTCAGACCTGATTTAGAAGACCTTATTGATGAGGTACTAGAGTTAATTTCCAATCATTGGGATAAAGATTATGATTCAGAAGAGGGAGGTCCCCCGCACATATCAATGTCCGATAATGAATGAACCATATTTTGGGTTCGAACCCTTTATGTTTATGTTCTGAATAAAATTTCTTGTTTTATGCATTCTTCTTATCTGAAAAGGCAGGAAAATGCCTCTTCAGATATCTAGCATTGATACAATCATGTAATCTTTTACCTTATTGATTTATTATAATAAAGGCACCATTTTCCGATTTTCTTATGAATAATAAATGGCCCTTCCCAGTTCGGAGACCATTTTCCTAATTGATCGATCTTCTTTTTGCGTAGGTAGGATGGTCTTCCAAACCAAATCTCCTTCTTGGAAAGTCCTATAAAGGACTTTCTTTCCGTAATATTTTGCCCTGATTCCATTCTGCCTTACAATCTGATCGATTGCACGGAGTCGGTTAACGTCCAGATTTTCCAATTTCTGCAACATAATTTGCTGATACTCCTCAGTGAACTCTCCAGTAGTAAAACTTGTATGTCCCGATGATACCTGAATTTCGGCTGGCAACACAGCATCTTGCCCAAAAGTAAACTGATATGGTGAAAACCCCGTCGCCGAACTTCTGTTATTTCTGTGTGCCCATAAGGCCTGAGGTAATAGCAAATGCCGTTTTCTTGGATTCCCCTCAACCATTTTCTTTATGATTCCAATAATGATCTTATTGGCTGCCTCTACATGTCCATTAGCTTGGGGATAATAAAGCGAAGAATGATTTATCCGAATACCAAATTCTGCCAAGAAACTTATAAACTTTTCTCCAGTGAAAACTAAACCTTGGTCAGTGGTTAAACAATGCGGAATGCCATACCTGTAGATGATCTGATTCAACACAAAATCAATTAACTCCTTTTGATCCACATTTTTTAAAGCAACCGCCTCTACCCATTTAGTGAAATAGTTTGTTGCAACCAAAATAAAACAATGATATTGGATGAAGGAAGATGTATTTTCCCAATGATGTCCATGGCCCAAGACTTGAAAGGCCATGGTTTTACCATAGCTCGCAATTCAATAACTAGCCAATGATTCAACTGTCCATGCTTTTGACATTCTTGGCAGCCTTTTGCAAATTGTATACAATTTTCAAAGATCTTTGGCCAAAAGAAACCCAAGCGGTGAATAGCCCATCTCATATTCAAACCTGCCCAATGTGCTCCGCAGATCCCGCTATGTACCTCTGTCATAACTTCCAAAGCTTGCTTAGACCCTAAGCATCTTAAAAGTAATCCTTCGAACGTCCTTTTATATAAAACTTCTTCTATCAATTGGAATCGTAAAGCCTTTAAATGTACCCCTGTCGGCAGATTTGCTCCCGGATTTTGCAGATACATGACCATTTCTATCCTCCAATCGATCCCATCTTCTGTTCCCGACTCGATCTCTGCACAGATCTCTTTCGGAATTCCCTTACATGCTTTTTGGGCTAACTCATCTGCATGTTGGTTTTCTTTCCTAGGGATGAATTCAATCATCACATCTGAGATTTTTGGCAACAATCTATATACAACATCCCTGTATCTGCGTAGATAAGGATAATTACAAACATATTGTTTGGTTACCTGATTGATTACCAATTGGGAATC